ACAACATCTCCCAGATGATGAGTCAAAAATACTAACTTCCTCTGCACAGAATGGCCTGTTTATACCTAGTGAGAAAACAAACACTGGAGTCACAGCTGTTGACCACTAAGCAAGTCATACAATCACTTCATGTTCGATTTACTCATCTACCAAGTTGGGATAAGACCACCTGCTCCATCTGCCATAGAAAATATTTTACGAATTGTTAGATCATGTGAAAGCACCTTGAAAAGAATGAAATTACATATTTAGTAATTATTTAAGGAATGCAGTTATTCTTATAACTATTTCAATTAGTAATCTGTGTTTGGGGAGGGAGTTCAAGTGAAAGATTGAGTGAGTTCTTCAGAGACAGCCTTTTTCCTGTGTTCCGGCCATGCTGGTGGTTTGTGCTAATTGCCTGTGGGGGACAGAGATCCCCTCATTGGTCTCTGCAGACAGAGCCAGAGCAAGCCAGGCTTCCAGGTGGCACAGCCACTGCTCCTCGGAGGGCCAGGGCCAGCCCAAGGTTAAAAGCCTGTGCTCCCAGCTCATGGGCAGGGGAGCAGCCGCACAGCACAGCCTCCTGCCTACTTCCACACTTGCTCTCCTACTTGATCCACCAAACACCAGCAGCAGCATGATGGATTCAGGTGGAATCCTGAAGCCAAAGGTATATTTCCATAAACAATCCACAGACTTTTATTTTTTATTTTTTTATTTTTTTCATGAGGAAGATCAGCCCTGAGCTAACATCCATGCCAATCCTCCTCTTTCTGCTGAGGAAGACTGGCCCTGAGCTAACATCCGTGCCCATCTTCCTCTACTTTATATGGGACGCCGCCACACCTGACAAGCGGTGCGTCTGTGCACGCCCGAGGTCCGAACCTGGGCCACCAGCAGCGGAGCGCATGCACTTAACCACTAAGCCACGGGGCCGGCCCCTCCACAGACTTTTATTAATGGATAATCCAGGGTATAAGAAAGAGAGGCAAAGAGGGAAAAAAGCTGGGAAAAGGAAAGAGCATTTATGGGGAAAAAGAGAGAGAAAAAGAAGAGTGTGAAATGGCCCTTTAAAGGTGCTGATTTTGGATTTTTCCTGCAGGAGAAAGGTTGGAGGTGACATGGTGTTAGAGCCCCAAGCCCAGGTGTGACCTTCTCCATCAGCTAAGAGATGTCTTCTTAGCTCTTCCTTAGGAAGGAAAAATATTTAAACTGCAAAGGGGAGTTTTAAAACTACAAATTAAGAAATCTTTAACAAAAGTCACCTCCAGAATGGTCCAGGAAAGAGGCTGAAAAATTCATAACCTGACCAAAAAATACCCTTTGTGTGCAGAACTGTGTCCTAGGAACAGAATCCTCCAGCAGAAAGAGGTCATCGAAGACTCAGGTATAGCCTAGTGCCCTTGGGCAGGCAAATCTCTAAGCACATCTTCTTTTTCTCTTGCCAAAGAGTTTACCAATATTTCATCATGCCAAAATCTCAAAATGGCCAATCTCAATTTCTCTTGCTCTTAATTTAAGCCTATTTTTGCTTTCCATAAATAAGGAGAGCCCCGGCTCTGCAAACACACATCGTTAAAATTCCATCATAATAGTGAAGACATTAACTGGAAGGAAAAAAAAATCCCCCTTCAACCACTTTTTTTTTTCTTTTGTGAGGAAGATTGGCCCTGAGCTAACATCTGCCAATCCTCGTCTATTTTGCCGAGGAAGACTGGCCCTGGGCTAACATCCATGCCCATCTTCCTCCACTTTATATGGGACGCCGCCACAGCATGGCTTGCCAAGTGGTCTGTCGGTGCGGGCCCAGGATCCGGGCCTGCGAATCCCGGGCACAGCGGAGCGTGCACACTTAACCGCTTGCGCCACCGGGCTGGCCCCTAACCACTCTTAAACGAGTTAATGTCTTGGCCATTCTCAACAGGACCTATTTTTTTCCCTTCTCCCTCTTCTCTAAAAATCTGCACATGCTGCATGTCCTTTTAAAAAGGCCAGACAAATCAAGTAAGACTCTCCAATAAGGAATGACCTCAGCAGTACAGGGCAGAAAGCTAACTTCCTGGCCCTCACGTCAAACATGCCCCTCTCCGTTTTTTCCCTTGGAGACACCCAGTGCAAACTGCCTTCGGCTTGCGGAGAGATGTAACCTGGAGAGCTATTCCTGGAACACCCATGTTTATCCAGCCTCTCCATTCTGAGTTTGTGGTGTTGAATTTTTATATGTATTTGATGTCCTGCCACTTAGCCTTTTTTCTATTTTATAAGATCCTGTGCTCACTAGAACTGCCCCCTGAGCCAGGCTCATGGTCCATGCAGCCAGGATTCTTTTTCCAACAGTTGTATCGGAAATCAATTTTAAGGGAGCTTGGTTGTCTTCCCTGATGCAAACAGCAAACGTCAGAGTCCCCTCCAGACAGTGTAGATTCTCTTAACTTCCCTTCATAACTATGTTTCTTAAATTTCAATATTTTTGAACTGTGATGCCTCTTAGGAGTACTAATTTCGATGTTTACTATGAACTATGTCATTTTTTCTTTTATTGGTCCTATATTTACCTCTTTTAAGGTTCAAACTCCTCCATTTCAAATTCTAAGATTTGGGGGTAAAATTCCTGTTCACTTGATCAAATACCTTAAATTTTCCTGATTGCAGAGGTTTTTATTGTGTTCCACTTCAGACTTCATCCATCTAAACAAAGTTTGTTCTGTTGTGTGGTTCTTGCCTGCCAGACTGCCACAGTGTTATCCTATATTGAAAACCCTAGCTTCAATTCTGACCAGATCACCAAGAAAAGATTAACTTAGAACTTACATGCAAGCTAGTCAGGCACAAACTGAGCTCTCAGGAATATCTGTCAACCATCTCCCACATAAATGAAATATTTTTAAATAAAACACATATATGAACTTCTCTGCCAGGATCAGGAATTCAAGACTAGGTTTGTTTCTTTGTTTTCACTTTTTATGATTCCCTTTCCTTTTACTGCTCAGGCTAATATTAAAGCAAGGCTTGAATTCTGAGAATGTGCCACCAGATATGAGGAATACCGACAGCTCAGGAGCAATTTCTGTGCTTGGAGGAAGCCAATTCTAAATTCCAGATTTGCTGTGGCTAATCCACAAGTGGCCAACTGAGAATTGTGAAATTTAGGGAGGAATGGGCAGAAAACTGGGTGAAGGAGGGCAATTACAACATCCAGGATTCTCTTTAAGAAGCAAGTCTTGGCTGTTTTTCTCAATATCCTGAATGTTCAAACCAAATTTACAGGTAGGCTGAGATGGGAACCAATCAATCATATGAGTGATTCCTAAAAATCTTTCTGTACCCAAACAACCTCCATCTGGGTGCTTCCATGCCTAAATTGCACCATAAATGGTGTATCCTCTGAGATCAATATTTTCCTCTTTAGGGTCCTCTTAAAATGCAAACAGTGCTGGATCAATTTAACATTCCAAGATTATGAGAGAACTAGGAACCAAAGGAAGAGACCCTTTAAGGGAGGAAAACACCCTGAAAAGCAGTTGAATTGCTGAATTCAGACTTGAAGTTACAGTCATGTTGGTTTGGGGAGTTTGTCAAGCTCAGGCCAAGAATCTAGTTGGTATGGCATTTCCTCCTGAACTTTCTGAGTGGCTGGGGTCAACAGCTTCCCACTCTAGTTATGAATTTTCCTTTTCCATGTTGGCTGGTTTATTCCTGGGCTAAAAACTGTTCAGTATGCAGAGTGAGGACTGCAAGAAATCCTGACATCACTGAGCGGCCACAAAGCACCAGCCACCCAGAGACCAGACAAATCATGGAAGAAGATAGGCAGTGTCTGTCTATTTCTTTCCCCTAGAGGGATACAAGGGGACAAGCACCTCTACTAGCAGGAGGTAGTGAGATGGATATCAGGAAGAACTTCTGAGTGGAAAGATGAGGTGACTATCAGATTGGTAACTCAATTCCTCAGCTTTCTTAAGTTCTAAATGAAAAGAATATGTAGTCACGTCTTCTTAAGGTATTAGGTAGAGGTATGAAGGAAGATTGAAAAGTGCTCTGAAATCCCTATCATCCTTGACTCAATAGAAGGACTCCATTGCTGACCTAAATAAATAGGCAATTAGAAGAGATTTCCCTCCTGACTTTTGGGTGGAATCTAGCATCAGGATCTCTAGTATTTTTATTATTTATTGATGAAAAGGACAGTTCTTTAGCCGAGTTGTACCCAAGTGGTCCCTGCCTGGTACACCAGAACCAGCTAAGAACTCCTGCTCACTTCCCTTGAGTAGTGCCTCCCATCAAGCCTGCTCTTCAGGTGTGGCAGCCAGGGTTCCTGTAGGACATGTCACTGTCCAGAGAAAGAGGCAGAGCATTCACTCCCAATCTTCTGTGCCCAGATGAGGACAACTAAGCCAAGGACTATTTCTGCTTTCTTTTCAGATCATTTTATTCATTAATCAAAGAAGATGGAAAGGCTTTGGTTTATGATCTTCAGAAAAGCCTAGGTCTTCCCCAATGAAAGGAGATGATAATTCACCCATTATTAACAAGAGCTAATTTTTGTTTGTGAGATGTTAAGAATTACTCAGTGGTTTAGAAGTGGGCATAGTGGTCATATACCTCAAAAGATCAGCGATCTCCTCTGAAATCTTCTAGTTTCCTTTGCTACTTATGGGTACCCATTAACTGATTTAACCCGTTTTTGGATAAAACCTGTTTATATCTTTAGCCTGTTCCACCTAAACTTACTTGGGCTTATGTGAGGTTTTGTTTATTCTACACTTACCTCCTCTTAACTCACATATTCATATCTTCTGTATTTGGTGGATAAGTCTAAATTCACCCTTTCCATTTTTTTCATGATTTAGTAGATTCACGTTCTCCTTCAAACTTCATCTTTCTAGATCAGGAGCTTTCACATGGGAAGGGAGGAATATAGAAGAAAGGGGAGGAAATTTACCAGAAACTTCTGGGAAGCTGTTCCAAATACAATGGGTCTTCTTCACCCTTCCTTGAGCATATCAAAACCTTGGCTGGGGAAATTTTTATTTTGAGAATTTCCAGATTTAATTTAAATCGTCAGCTTCCTCTACCCTGTTGTAAATGCCATGCTGAACTGAAGAACCCTAATCTTTTTGTTGTTCATAAGGCACTTCCTTCATTTCTGTAATAGCTCATGTTTGACATTCAAATGGAATAAAGTTTCCATTCATTGTGGGACTGACAGTTGTTGGGGATTGCAGTGAAAGTTTGCAATCATAAAAATTAAATTGTTACTTAACTATGAAGCCCAGAAGACCCTCCCTTACGCAGATCAAGCTTCTCAATAGCTTCTTCTTCACTTGCTTTTCTCCCAGTGGTTTTCCCTGGACAGATTCCTCAAGTGACTAACGGCAACCAGAGATGAAAGGGACCAACAACGTCACCTTGGAGGGCTTCATTCTGGTGGGTGTATCTGACCATCCTCAGCTGGAGATTGTCTTTTTCGTAGTCATTCTCTTCTCTTACTTGCTGACCCTATTTGGTAACTCAACCATCATCCTTCTTTCCTGCCTAGATGCCCGGCTCCACACACCCATGTACTTCTTCCTCAGCAACCTCTCCACTCTGGACCTTGCCTTTACTACTAGCTCAGTCCCTCAAATGCTGATCAACTTATGGGGACCAGACAAGATTATCAGTTATGGTGGCTGTGTGACCCAGCTCTATGTTTTCCTCTGGCTAGGGGCTACTGAGTGCATCCTGCTGGTGGCGATGGCATTTGACCACTATGTGGCAGTTTGCCGGCCCCTGCACTACACCACCATCATGAACTGTTGGCTCTGTTGGCTGCTGGCTGCCATTGCCTGGTTGGGTGGCTTGGGCAACTCTGTGATCCAGTCAACATTCACTCTGCAGCTCCCATTGTGTGGGCACTGGAGGGTGGACAACTTCCTGTGTGAGGTGCCTGCCATGATCAAACTGGCCTGTGGAGACACAAGTCTCAATGAGGCTATGCTCAATGGTGTCTGCACCTTCTTCACTGCCATCCCACTCAGCATCATCCTGATCTCCTACTGCTACATAGCTCAGGCAGTGCTGAAGATCCGCTTGGTTGAGGGGCGGAGAAAGGCATTTAACACACGCCTCTCCCATCTGGTGGTGGTGCTCCTCTTCTATGACTCAGCTACCTATGGGTATCTGCTTCCAGCTAAGACCAGCAACCAGGACCAGGGCAAATTCATTTCCCTCTTCTACTCTGTAGTCACGCCCATGGTGAACCCTCTCATCTACACTCTGAGGAACAAGGAAGTAAAGGGGGCACTGAGGAGGCTGCTGGGGAAGGGAAGAGAAGTCTACTGAGAGAAAGAAAAAACTCCTTCATCATTTATAGCCTCTTCATCTCTACACACTTTTCCTCATTTTCTCTCTGGCCAGGTGAACATGAGGAGTACTAACCCTGGTACAAACTAGGCATGTTCCCAACAACCCTAAGCTGTTGGGACATGGTTACTGTTATTTCTAATATTCTACACTTATTTACCAAAAATCCTACTGTGGACTACAGATAACAGGGCAGACATGTGTCATCAATGGCTCAGAGGTTGTTGACTTACTACAGACCTAGCTCACTGTCTCTGTGGTCCACAGGTTATTTATATATATTTATCTCATGTAATAAATATTACATATTTAATTGTTTATTTACTGTATTTCTAGAGAATTCTGTACTTCTCTGAAGAAAGCACATCCACTTGCAGGATCTTGTATAATGTTACTATAATTCCATAAAATCAAGCTAGGGATTATTAACCCCAAACGAAAACCCAAACAATTGATCTTTGTACCCTATCCATCCATCATTGTTGTCCATCTCTCTTTGCCTCTTCTCAATATTTCAGTCTATCTACCAATACTTCCCACCCATATGTCCCTCTGTCATCTTGTTTACCCTCTTCTTTATGTCTACATCCCATTTTCCCTTCTGTCTCATCTAATATTTAATGAGAAAAGGTAGCTAAGACCATGTTCCTTTCAATTCTAGCCAAATAGGTTTCCTTGATATAGTTTTATTTAAATCATCCCCCCTAAAAAGTCCCAGCCATCAGATTTGCTACCAGCATTTGGATATGCTCATATGGTTGGTGGATTATAGAATGCCCTGAGATTCCTTAAGCAAGTTTAAGAGGCCAAGAAGGATCATCCATCCATAAAGCATGTCCTCTGCCTCAAGATCTAGTCTTTCAGCCCTAAAGTTCCTGGAATCCCGCAATCAGTCCAGCACACCATGACTCATCGAGGAAATCAGGTATTGGAATTTAAATGCTGATATGCGATTCTGTGCATTACTAGAATTGCCAAGGGAATCTGCACCTGCCACCACAGTTCATATACTCTTTCCTCCAGGCAGAGGAGATAGGTTAATATGAGAAAGTTTCTTGGCAACTACATTACCAGAGAAAAGGAAGTCAGTAGGTTTTAGGGCTAGTTTCTAAAGAATCTTCAGCTCTGTGTCCCCCACAGAACCTAAATACCCACCTTATACCTAGTAGATGCTCAACAAACACTTAGTGAATTGAATTAATTAACAAGCCTCATGAGTCTCTGTTTTTCATGCTAGGAACTAAATTTGTTATATGAACCATTTTTCTGTTTGCCACTTTGGGGTTATATTGTCCCTTGGACAATGCTGAACAAACAATGACAAATTTCCACCTTTCCACATTTCAATAATGCCCCCCAAAGACATCTAGTTAAATTGTCCCATCCTTAATTTGTTTTTCCAGTTGCAGATCAGAGCCATGACCTATTTTCTCAGTTCCTTACAGAGTAATACTGAAGTATGTCTCCAGGACTAGCCAACTAGTGGCATTATCTTGGTGAACTGATCAGTCTAGACTCTTGCAGACTCAAATTCTTTATTGATCAGCACACTCAGATTAGATGACGTTCTCAGGAGGTAGACTCAAAATGACTATGCTCCTAAAGCTGATATATAAACCAGAATGCCAGTTGATTGATTTATGAGAATGGTAACTACCAAGGAGATTAAACAGTCATGTCGTCTAGCTAAATCATTCAAGTTGCAAAATAACTTGGGGGGAAAATAGACATGCATTCTTCAAACACTTTGGAGTTCTGCGGATCTGCCAATGAAAAGTACGGGACATTTTGAATCTAACTTGTAGTTAGGGGAGTAGTAAGACACAGAGAATTAGAGGGAGGAGAGAAAACATGGGACATGAATACATCATGGGGATCACATATGACATCATCAAAATGCACACATGTTCATGTTCCATTTTCAATGGTGTGCATGAAACAAAGTCAAAAAATGGCAAAAAGCAATTAAATGTGAGGCAAGTTTCTTGTTATTAAGGGCTCTGAAGTTCAATTTCTAGGGTTCAAGAAGAAAAAATATGTTTGGTGTCTTATTCAGTTAGAAATTCAAAAAATGAAAAACAAAACTTCAAGACCTACAGAAGGTTCACCAACTTTAGTAAAACAGCATTCGAGCTTTTAAGAGCCCATCTCTCAGAGCCTTTCGTAGAGTCTATCTAGATCCGTACCCTGCCCCGTAAGGGAACAAAGTCTGCTACCTGAATACCTGAATCAAATGACCGAATTTTGAACCTGCCAATGAACGGAGTCAATCCTTTTTCTGTCTTCACAGCCTTCAGGCTCAATTCCATGGCTGTGGTTAGGAGATGTTGGAATAAAGGAGCTGGTGAGAAACAGGAATTGAAAAGTGACTTTGGCTTGGTGAGTTTATGCTCTAGTATATGAGCTCTAAATTACAGACTAATTTGGAAGCTCCATTAATGATTTGGTGAAAAGGTCCAGTTTTTTGACTATATTGACAATTTGATTATATCAACTTCACTGAGTACTTACCATGTGCTAGATAATGATCTAAACTCTTTACATGAATCAACTCATTTAAACCTCACAATAACCTATACTGTCTCCATTTTAAGATGAGGACATTGGAGCACAAGAAACTTGCTCAAGAACACACCATGGTAGGGCTGGGAATCAAACCCAAGTACTCTTGACTCTAAAGCTTGTGCTTTTTCAAAAAAAAAATTTTTTTCTTTTTTGAAATAATCACAAACTTACAGAAAAGTTGGAAGCATAACACAAAGGACTTTTTCCCCCTTGAGTCACTTGAGAGTAAGTTGACAACTTGATACTCTGTCTTCCCCAAATATCTTAGGGTGTATCTCTAACAAACAAGGACATTCTCCTATGGGACCACAATGTAGCCATCAAAATTAGTAAATGAAGATTAATACATTGTATTATCTAATTTTCAGACCCTGTTCAGCTTTTGCCAATTGTCCCAATAATGTCTTTCACAGCAAAAGTATTCTGTTCAGAATCACACACTGCATTTAGATGTCATGTCTCTAGTCTCTGTCAGTCTGAAATGGTTCCTCAGTCTTTTCTTGACTTTCATGATCCTGACACAAAGATTATTAGCCAGTTATTTTGTAGAACATCACTCAATTTGGGTTTCACGTTTCTTCATAATTAGATTCAGGTTATGCATCTTTGGCAGGAATACCACAGAAGTGATGTTGCATTCTTCTCATTGTAGCCTATCAGGTGGTGCTATGGACTGAGTTGTCTCCCACATCCAAATTCATACGTTGAAGCCCTAACCCCCAATGTGATTGTATTTGGAGACAGGGCCTTTAGGAGGTAATTAGGGTTAAGTGGTATCATAAGGGTAGGCCCCCCTACTCCAATAGGATTGGTGACCTTATAAGAAAAGGAAGAGAGAGACCTTTCTCTTTCCACACACACTCAGAGGAAAGGCCACATGTGGACAAAGAGACCATCTGCAAGCCAGGAAGGAGCCCTCATCAGAAACTGAATCCTGCTGGAACCCTGTTCTTGGACGTTCTACCTTCAGAACTGTGACAAAATAAATTCCTGTTGTTTAAGTCACCTAGTCTACGGTATTTTCTTATGGCAGCCTGAGCAGACTAAGGCAGTGGTGTATATTTCATTTTGTCCCGTTACTAGTGATGTTACTTGGATCACTAAATGAAGGTAGTGTCTGCCAGTCTTTCCATTATGCCCCACTTTGTAATTAATAAGTATTTTATGGTGAAGTACTTTGCAACTACATAAATATCCTGTTGCTAATTCAACTCAATTTATTCATTATTTATTAACATCGTATGGAATCAGAGTTTCCTATTTTATTCAATGGTTTATAACTTATTATCATTATATTGTTGTCCCCTCTTTGATCAGTGGGAGCCCATTCAAGCTGGCTTTTGTGTTTTTTTGACTTGTCCCCATATTCTTTGGGCACTTCGTTGCTTTCTGGAACCACAAGATGTTCCATGCTTATCTTTTATTAACCCTACCCCAGCCCAGCTATTTCCTCAAGGAGCCCTGGTTACTTTCAATGAAAAATGGTGTTTAGAAGTCAATTTCTGGGCACTAAATGTTCTCATTACTCTTGGGGTGAGCTGCTCCCAGGTCATCTCTGTAGACAGAGGTAGGATACACATAGATAGATTGATAGATGAATAGAGAGAGAGATAAATATAGATACAGTATAGACACAACACATATCCCTCTGTATTTCTATCTATCTATATATCTATTTATATAGAAATTTAAGTCTGACAATACCAAGTGTTGAAAATTATATAACTGATATGTATTTCTGACATTCCACAATACACACACAACAGCGTTTTTTTTTTTTAACTTTATTGAGGTCAAAATAGTTTCTAACATAGTGAAATTTCAGTTGTGCATTGTTATTTGTCAATCACCACATAAATGTGCCCCTTTACCTCTTATGCCCACCCCCCAACCCCCTTCCCCTCTGGTAACCATTGATCAGTTCTCTTTGTCCATGTGTTTATCTTCCACATATGAGTGAAATCATACGGGGTTTGTCTTTGTCTGGTTATCTCACTTAACATAATACCCTCAAGGTCCATCCATGTTGTTGTGAATGTGATGATTTTGCCTTTTTTATGGCTGAGTAGTATTCCATTGTATATATATACAACATCTTCTTTATCCATTCATCAGTCGATGGGCACTTGGGTTGCTTCCACATCTTGGCTATTGTGAAGAATGCTGCAATGAACATAGGGGTGCATAAGTCTCTTTGAATTCTTGATTTCAAGTTCTTTGGATAAATACTCAGTAGTGGGATATCTGGGGCATATGGTATTTTGATTTTTAATTGTTTGAGAAAATCTCCATACTGGTTTCCCTAGTGGCTGCACCAGTTTGCATTCCCACCAGCAGTGTATGAGGGTTCCCTTTTCTCCACATCCTCTCCAACACTTGTTGTCTTCGTGATTATAGCCATTCTAACGGGTGTAAGGTGATATCTTGATCTTTGATCAAGTAGTCTTGATTTGCATTTCCCTGATGATCAGTGACGTTGAACATCTTTTCTTGTGCCTATTGGCCATCTGTATATCTTCTTTGGGAAAATGTCTGTTCATATCCTCTGCCCATTTATTGATCAGGTTGTTTGGTTTTTTGTCGTTGAGTTGTATGAGTTCTTTATATATTTTGGAGATTAACCTCTGGTTGGATATATGATTTGCAAACATTTTCTCCCAGTGGGTGGATTATCTCTTTGTTTTGTTCCTGGTTTCCTTTACCTTGCAGAAGCTATTTAATCTGATGAAGTCCCATTTGTTTTTCTTTTGTTTCCCTTGCCTGAGTAGACATGGTATTTGAAAAGATCCTTCTAAGAGCGATGTCAAAGAGTGTACCGCCTATATTCTCTTCTAGGGGTTTTATGGTTTCACGTCTTACCTTCTGGTCTTAAATCCATTTGGAGTTAATTTTTGCATATGGCAAAAGATAATGGTCTACTTTCATGCTTTTGCATGTGGCTGTCCAGTTTTCCTAACGACATTTATTGAAGAAACTTTCCTTTCTCCGTTGTATATTCTTAGCACCTGTGTCAAAGATAGCTGTCCATCGATGTGTAGTTTTATTTCTGGGCTTTCAGTTCTGTTGCATCGATCTGTGTGTCTGTTTTTCTACCAGTACCATGCTGTTTTGATTACTATTGCTTTGTAGTATATTTTGAAGTCAGGCATTGTGATGCTTCCAGCTTTGTTCTTTTTTCTCAGGATTGCTTTAGCTATTCGCAGTCTTTTGTTGCCCCATATGAATTTTATGATTCTTTGTTCTATTTCCATGAAGAATGTCACTGGGATAGTGATTGGGATTGCACTGAATATGTAGATTGCTTTAGGTAGTATGGACATTTTAACTATGTTTATTCTTCCAATCCATGTGTGTGGAACATCTTGCCATTTCTTTATGTCATCCTCGATTTCTTTCAATAATATCTTATAGTTTTCATTGTATAGGTCTTTCACTTCCTTGGTTAAATTTATTCCTAGATATTTTATTCTTTTTGTTGTGATTGTACATGGGATTGTTTCTTGAGTACGCTTTCTGTTAGTTCGTTAGCAGAGTATAGAAACGTAACTGATTTTTGTAAGTTGATTTTGTACCCTACAACTTTGTTGTAGTTGTCGATTATTTCTAACAGTTTTCTGATGGATTCTTTAGGGTTTTCTATATATAAAATGATATCATACGGAAACAGCAAGAATTTCACTTCCTCGCCAATTTGGATATCTTTTATTTCTTTTTCTTGCCTAATTACTCTGGCCAAAACCTCCAGTACGAGGTTGAAAAAGAGTGGCGTGAGTAGGCACCCTTATCTTGTTCCTGTTCTCAGAGGGATGGCTTTCAGTTTTTCCCTGTTGATTATGATGTTGGTTGTGGGTTTGTCATATATGGCCTTATGTTGAAGTACTTTCCTTCTATACACATTTTATTGAGACTTTTGATCATAAAAGGATGTTGGATCTTGTCAAATGCTTTGTCTGCATCTATTGAGATGATCATGTGGTTTTTATTCCTCAATTTATTAATGTGGTATATCACATTGATTTGCAGATGTTGAACCGTCCCTGCGTCCCTGGTATAAATCCCACTTGATCATGGTGTATGATCCTTTTAATGTATTGCTGTATCTGGTTTGCCAATATTTTGTTGAGGATTTTTGCATCTACGTTCATCAGCAATATTGGCCTTTAATTTTTCTTCTTTGTGTTGTCCTTTTCTGGCTTTGGGATCAGGGTGATGTTGGCCTCATAAAATGTGATAGGAAGTGTTCTGTCTTCTTCAATTTTTTGGAATAGTTTGAGGAGGATGGGTACTAAATCTCCTTTGAATGTTTGGTAGAATTCTCCAGAAAAGCCTTCTGGTCCTGGACTTTTATTTTTTGGGAGGTTTTTGATTATTGTTTCAATCTCTTTACTTGTGATTGCTCTATTCAGATTCTCTATTACTTCTTGATTCAGTTTTTGGAGGTTGTACGAATCTAAGAATTTATCCATTTCTTCTAGATCGTCCAGTTTGTTGGCATATAGTTTTTCATAGTATTCTCTTATAATCCTTTGTATTTCTGTGGTATCCATTGTAATTTCTCCTCTTTCATCTAATTTTATGTGTTTGAGCCTTCTCTCTTTTTTTCTTAGTAAAGCTGGCTAAGGGTTTGTCAATTTTATCTTCTCAAAGAAACAGCTCTTAGTTTCATTGATCCTTTCTACTATTATTTTGGTTTTAATTTCATTTCTTTCTGCTCTAATTTTTATTATTTCCCTCCTGCTGACTTTGGGCTTTGTTTGTTCTTCTTTTTCTAGTTCTTTTAGGTGTAGTTTAAGATTGCTTATTTGAGATTTTTCTTGTTTGTTAAGGTGGGCCTGTATTGCTATGAATTTCCTTCTCACAACCACTTTCC